CTTATCTTTCCGCAAACAATCTTGTAAAATCTGTATTGATCTTCTTTATCAATATATATTTTAAATTTGAAAATTGTGTTTGTATTCATCCCCCCCCCCTTCTACAAACTGTTTAGTATTCTTGTAGACCCTTTTGGGACCAACAATAAGAACATGAGGCTAACTGTTGACAATGAAGCTTTTGAAATTGAAAAGACAAGGGTTTTTGCAAACTGGATTTTGGATTTAGGAGAAGGCAAGGTTGGTAGTGTGAATGATGGTGAGGCAATTGTTGATATACATCATGATCTTCTCATTACCGATTCAACAGATCTTATATCCGCATTAATTGAATTTGTCTATCCTTCGATTCTTGTAAATATCAATAATTCATCTTATTTTCAGGAAAAAGCAATTCTTGCACCAAAGCATGAAGTAGTTCAAGAAATAAATGACTTTTTGCTATCATTGTTTCCAGGAGACGAAAAGGAGTACCTAAGTTCATATAGCCTATGTGAATCAAAGCAACTTCACGACCCGTTTGATAAAACTTTGTACTCACCTGATGTCTTAAATGGTCTTAAATTATCAGGTTTGCCAGACCATAAGATATTACTAAAAGTCAGCGTTCCAATTATGTTACTAAGGAATATTGATCATAAATCTGGCTTATGTAATGGAACTAGACTATAGGTGTTATCATTGGGAAATCGGGTTATAGAAGCAGAGGTCATATCTGGAAGCAATATTGGAAGCCGAACATTTATTCCAAGAATGTCTTTGACACCTATAGACAAAAGGATTCCATTCAAACAAAGAAGACAATTTCCAATTGCTTTATGTTTTGCCATGACCATAAATAAAAGTCAGGGATAGTCATTATCGAAGGTTAGTTTGTTTCTGAGACAACCAGTCACCCATGGTTAGCTGTATGTTGCTTTATCTAGAGTTAAAAGCATGCAAGGTTTACAAATATTAATTATAGATGATGATGATGATATAATTAGCAATAGAACAAAGAATGTTGTATATAAAGAAGTATTTAGTAATTTATGATATCTGGTTCTTATTTTTTTAATATTTTAACTATGTACTTTTCCATAACTTCATTTACGTTCTATTATAAAATTTGTTTTACAAATTCTTAATATTTATTCATATTTTTATTAATTTTTTACAAAATGCATAACACGTTCATTCCAAGAGCTCTAGACCATCGACCTCTGATTTTGATCCTCTGGTCCATCTCTTGTCCATCGTGAAGTCTGATCTTTGCGAACTCTGGTACTTGAGCTCTGGTCTTTCATGTTTTGATCGCACGGAGCAGCAAGAAGAACAACATGCAGAGCCTCTAGTTTGCCTATACAGATGCATGAAGGCATTTCTGCTCTGTCTTATTTTCTATGGTCCACCTCTGATCCCCCCTATACACTTCTTTTATACTCAAATGAGCACCAAAGGTTTCTATCCAGCAACATTGCACTATTTGAATCGCCTGAATTGGTGCCTTGACGAGTGAGATATGATAAATTTACTACGACATCACAAAACTGTCAGCACATTGATTTTCATCATATCATCAATTTTGATGATAATTCATATAAGTAGGATAAATTTCCTGAAATGATTTAATTTTTTATTTTACCCTGTGTAATACAGGTGTTCGAAGCTAGTGTGTGTGTGTATATATATATATATATATATATTTGTTTTGATGATTACAAACAAAATGGTATTTAATTGATTAACAATTCTACTTGTTGCGCATATTTATGATATGCTGAGAATCAAGTAAAAAAGACATGTTTGATAAAAAAATATCCATGAAGTCATCATCTCGAGAAACATGCCATATTGGTGTGAGATTTGTGCAAAAAGACGAAAGTCGAAGATTAAATGCTCATAGCTGGAAAGTACAAAGCTAAAGTCCACTTGGACCATCTGGACGTCCACTTGGACCATCTGGACGTCCACTTGGTAAAGTTATTTGACATTCATTCAACGATCGAAAAATAACTTTTTCTAAAAAGTGACAATGCAGACTAGGCGTGGTGATTTGCTCTGGCCCAGCGTGGAACCCGATTCACCCGACCCGATCTAGGCTAGGGATTCCCTGCTAAACTGGGTACCGAGTTCGGTGCCAGGGATCCCCGCTAGTATGAAACCGACGATGCGTCGAGACCGGGTAATGCACCTCCGACCCGTCCCATATCCGTTATATATATTAATTTAATTTAATTTTAATATGTATTATTAGACTTCTACATAAAATTTTCCAAATTAGGCTTTACTTTCCGATCGACTTCTTCAATCACTCAATCCTCAGTTCCACAGTGTCGTCCTCGTCCAGTCCATAGTCGTCATCGACTTCCACCGGCCCACTGCCAATCGCCACCATAGTCTGTCGTCGGCCCCAGCCCATGACCATTGTTTTCGTCCACCAGGTATAGTTCTAATGTTTTACTTCTTTTTCTACCCTACTCAATTGATTCAAACTTGACTCAAACTTTTTCTATGCATTTTGAATGGTTTTGGTTCATAAGGTATTCATATATGGACGTTAAGTCAAGAATGTTGTCAAGAGATGAGAGATCCAAAAATGTGCGTTCTTTTTCTCTATTTCTCGGTTAAGCCTTTGAGCCCTCACAGCCCACGCACAACGTTACAATTATCGGGGGAGGCTCTGAATTTGAATATCATAATTGCGGATATAGTCATGATTCAATGGGTTAAGTCCACTTATTTTTCTTAACCCCTTGTGGCTTGTGATTTTATTTCCACATGAGCGTTGCTTGTTACAACAACTATCCAAAGACCATTTGGTAAAAAAAAAATTAGTGTTTCACTAACTCTCATGTGTACATAAGGTACTAACAGAAGATCTTTTTTGTTGTAATTTGGAATTAATGATTAATGTTGCTAATTGGATGTGGAATTAAACTTCAACAATTGAGATCATGGATTGTAACTACTTGCTAAGATTTAATTGTTAATGAAAGACTCAAAATCACAAGCTATTTGTTAGATCTGGACTGTTTCTAGCCAATGTTGAACTGAGGTTGGAATGGGTCAGGGAATGGGGTTGGACTGGGGTTGATCTAGGGATAGGCTCGTTACACACTAGGGACAAGGTTTCATTCCCCGCACCCCAGTGGATCGGGGTCGAAGTCGGGGCCGAGGACCACTTACTAAGAACTGGGGTCGGGTATTGCATTCCCTGCCCCATACCTCCCTGTTGCCATGCCTAATGTAGACGCCCACTTGGTGCACAATGCGGACGTCCACTTGAACCCAAAGTTTCAAATTTTTTATTTAAAGCTAGCTTGTTCTCCAGGTATCAAGACAATACTTTCAGATACTTTTAGTCTAATAATACAGATCTCTCTATGTAATCTTCCTCAAGAATACCTCATGATTTTATTTTCTAAATCAAACTACATTCATTTGAGAGATTATTACACCACCACTTGATCATCATTTTAAGTTCTTCATATTGTAAGTGGCGTGAGTTAAGCACAACCTATCTCCTAATCTTTGGATTAGAGTTGTTCATCTATTTTAAAAGTGTGTAATATTGTGTTAGGTTTGAGAAGTTTTCTGCCCATATTTGAGATTATCATTTTTTGTGAGTTTGGAGTTACATCTCCCTATACATATCACCTATGAGTAATTTTCCCTTTGCAAAAGGTTCAGCGTATCATAGATTCATATATTTGATGTAAAATTGATTTGTACGGATTTTTTCTACCATTTAAAAAATAACAAATAGTAAAGTGTCTTGAGAAGTATCTCAGTATGGACTAGCCCCTAAGTTTGGGGTGAACCACATAAATCTTGTGTAACGTATCTCTTCAATATGATTTAACATTTTGTCATGTTTGTGGTGATTTGTTTGTAAATCTGATTTGATATTTTAATCTTTGTACTCAAACAATCTCTTCCGCTTTATGATTGTTTAGATAGGTGAAGCGGTTAGCTATGTATCGATAAGATAAAAAAAACAAGAAACATTAAATATAAAATAAATGCCAATTGACCATTTTGCCTTTGGTCATAACCGAGATGATTGACCATAAGAACCAAATGGGATTCCTATTGTAAAAAAGTGAGTTTTGATATTAATGTATGTGAAAAGAAATGTACTAAGTAGATGTGTATTTAGCAATGTATATGAGTACAATTAGTCTCCTCCGAACCAAATTCATGAAAAAGTTAGAGATGATTATTTGTGGACTCTAAACTTTTTTTTTAACGAGTCTAATATAATAAAATCAAACTTTTTTTCGTTGGCTTGATCACTTGTCAGGGTTTACCCACTGGATAGTAGGCCTAATTTTTTTTACGTGTTTAAGAAAACAACACAAGCTGTGTAGATAATTCAAAATATGAAATAATTTTTCCAACTTAAAATAAGAGGAGAAAATATTATAATGTGTGTGAATTTTTCAACAACCAAATATTTTACGACCTAAAAAATATTAAGATAAATGGGACAAACTGAAGTAGGAAGTGGGATGAGTGAACTCATACTTAAGCGCTTATTGATATACTAGGGTTAGGGGTGTAAATAATGCAAGTCGAGCTCATCACTATACTCAACTCGAACTCGAAACCCAATTTCCAAGCTCGAACTCAACTCGAAAACTGACAAGTAGTAAAAGAATCAAAGTTTGACTCGAACTCGATAACTATTTCTCAAGCTTGAACTCGAACTCGAACTCAAACAAGCTCAAACTAAGCTCGAAACAAGCTTAAACTTCAATGCAAATCAAGCTTGAACTTGAACTCAAACTCGAGCTCAAACCAAATTCACTCATTGAAATTTATGAAATTTTAGGGTCTTTCTCTTATAAATTTTAAATCTTAAGGTGTTCTCTTAAATTTATAAAACTAAAGAGATCAACTTCAAACTTAATCATTAAAAAGACAAAGTTAAAATTTTTATTTATCTCCCCCTCTTTTTATAACATATTTTCTCTCTTCATTTACCATCTATTTTCCAATGTGAGACAATTTCACTAACCTTTTTATAGTTTTTCTTTGTCTTTTTTTTAATTGTGTTTTTAATAAAAAATAATTGATTAATTTTTTTAATTAAAAAATACATAATTTTGTTTAAATATCTAATAATATAAGACATTTTATTTTACAAATTTTATCATAAAAACTAATTATACATAAAATAATCGAGTATCTCACCAGCTTTTCGAGTCGCATATTGGGTAACTTGACTTGACTCGTTAATATGTCGAGTCGAGCTCGAGTTTGAGCCGACCTATTCGAGTCGAGTGTTGACCGAGTCGATCTCAAATAGCTCACAAGTTGTTTCATATTGTTTACACTCCTAACTAGGGTAATTGTGTGTTTAGGTTCACAAAGAGTCATCACAATTAGGTCAGAATTAAAACGCGCCTAGAATTTTTAAACGCATCATCAAGTCCGCCCATTTATTTTTAATACATCAGTTCGGGCTTGTCCATTAATTTTAACAAATCAGTCTGGACTCACCCATTTATTTGAGAATGGCTGTCCAATCCGCTTTATTAACGCCCTACCATCCCAGACGCATCGTCTTCGTCCCGCCAGTGAACGACTCTAGAAAAAAATATATACCACCAAATGTTTTACTTAGTAACTGAAATATAGAGATCAATTCCATAAAAATTTACATACCATAGGGATCAAGGTGAATAATCGTGTGAGAAAAGAAGTTATAGTAGAAGCATAAGAAATATTTGAACACTTGATCACTTTTAAACTCATGCCTATCTTGAATTATGTTTCAGAAAGGAAATTGTTTCAGTGCATCTCGGTGCACCTCATTAGTGTGACATTCAATTATGATTGATCTAAGGATGAAGATCTCTTCTTACGCTTCTTAGCACTTCATTTCTCACCGAAACCTAACCCTAGGGACCAAATCTGTAATTTAATCAATAGATAAATATACTTTTTACCATAGGTTCATTTGAGAAGTGGTAAATATTTGAGAAATAAATTAGCGATTCTAGCCCTTTATCTAGTCAAGGTTTTTTTTTAATTAACCTGGATATCCACCCCGCTATGTGAGCCGACTAATCTCAGGGCGACCACCTGCTTTGCAGATTGCCCGAAGTCACCGCATTTGAATCTCCGTGGCCACAAGAGGATTTTTATTCCTCATTGGATTTGAATCTAAGATTTCCTGGTACTTTTGACTTTTGGAGCCAAGCTCAAACCAATCAGACACCACTCTTGTGGTTTATCTAGTCAAGATTTGTGGCTTTGATTGTGAAACACTAGATAATTCCTCACATGTCATGCTAAAGATAGAGAGGTAATTTCGTAACTTTTACAAATAGACGGCAAAACAAGTGCATATGTGAACCCATTTGGTTCACATATGAACTATCCGTGTAATTCACATATGAACTATTTAACCGATTCACATATGAACTATTTAACTGATTCACATATGAACTAGTTAATCGATTCAAATATGAACAAGTTAACCACTTCACGTATGAACCATTCACATATGCAGTTATGAGTTTATATGCATTTATGGGTTCAATGTTCACATATACATTTGTTTGCAGTCTATTTATAAAAGTTACAAAATTACCCCCTTATTTTTTATTTGATCAATTAAAATCGTAAATTTTGCCCTATCAAAATTATCTATACTATATTATAAAGCATTTGACAAAAACTCTTAAAAACGATTTTTTATGCACGAAGTACTGTTTATTGATGCATATTATTTAAAATTTAAGATTACAAGTAAATTGTGCATAAGTACAATTTATTAAAGCTCCATACTTGAATTCCTCTAACTAACTGTAGATAAACATAATTAAATATTGGATAAACATCTCATTTTAAATATAAAAAATCTAAAATATAATTAGGATAATCATTAATAACTAACAAAATACTTAGTTATTATATTTATAAAAAAATTATATTATTAAACCTAAATTAAATTTCTTTGTTACTAAACCTAAATTAAATTTCTTTGTTATTAAACCTAAATAAATTATAATTAAAAAAATTTAATTAAGAAAATTACACCAAAACATAAGAACTTTTAAAAAGATTAATTTAATACTGATATCAATATTTTTTTTTTCAAAATATATGATATTTTTAAATTTATATTTTATTCAAAATAAAAACTTTATCACTTTCTCAAAAACACAAAACCAATGTGTACTTAAAATTCAAGATTACAAGTAAATTATGCATAAGTACGACTTATTAAAGCTCGATGTTTGAATACGTATAACTAATTGCGGATAAACATATCAAATAGAAGATAAACATCTTATTTTAAAATATAAAATATAATTAGGATAATTATCGAGTTCTAACAAAATAATTAATTATTATTTTTATAAAAAAATTATTATTAAACCAAATATAAATTACTTTGTTATTATACCTAAATTAAATTTTAAACAAATTGAATTAAAAAATTACCACAAAATATGAGTAATTTTAAATAGTTATTTTTATATGAATATCAATATATTTTTGTTATGCATAATGTATATTGATGCATATTACTTAAAATTCAAGATTACAAATAAATTATGAATAAGTACAACTTATTAAAGCTCCATGTTTGAATTTGTATAACTAACTGCGAATAAAAATAATCAAATATAGGATAAACATCTTATTTTAAAATATATAAAATCTAAAATATAATTACAATAATTATCGAGTTCTAACAAAATAAATAATTATTATCTTTATAATAAAATTTTATTATTAAACCAAATATAAATTACTTCGTTATTGTACCTAAATTAAATTAAAAAAAATTGAATTAAAAAATTACACAAAAAAATGAGGAATTTTAAATAGTTTATTTGATACTAATATCGATATATTTTTGTCAAATTTTTATGATATCTTCAAACTTATATTTTGTTCAAAAATAAAAACATAATCGCTTTCTCAAAATCATATAAGACCATATTATAATAACGACTGAGATAAAAAATAAAATAAAATATTAAAATCAAGATGTATCTCACTACATTGCACGAGTACTTTTCTAGTAATCTTTTACCGGTCAAAAATATAATTCTTAACCAATTTTAGTTGTACCAAAAGTTAAAATCCCTCCTTACTTTTCAAATAATTATGAAGATCGCTCTCTCCCTATACTTTTTCAATATATATTATGTATCGACATTGAGCATATTGTCGACCATGTGAGGAGAGGAACTCAAATTTCTCTTTATATATATCTGTTTTGTTTAATAAAAGGTTGACATTTATGATTTTGAACCATCATCATCCAACATCTTGAAACCCTAGCCTTGGCGCACCTTTTGATCTAAATTCAATCTTATTATAGTCGAATTCATTACTGAATTTTGCTACCTCGACCCCTAATTTTTCTCTCAATTCGAACTCGATTAGAGTTCGATCTTTGCTTGATCTTCTGTGATTAAGTATAAAGAGAGAGAAAAAGGGGGTTGGAGTTAAGGTGAGAAAGGGAGAGATGACGATTCTTTACACGCTCGTGGCCAGGGGATCTGTGGTGTTGGCGGAATTCAGTGGCACGCATACGAATGCGAGCACGATTTCGAGGCAAATTCTCGAGAAAATCCCCGGAAATAATGATATGAATGTTTCTTATTCTCAAGATCGGTATATTTTTCATGTCAAGCGTACTGATGGTCTGACTGTTCTTTGTATGGCTGACGACGTTGCCGGAAGTAAGCTACTACTTATCCTTTTAGTACCGTATGCTTTCTGATTTATATTGTTCAATTGTGTACTTGTATATAGCTTTAATCACAGGGAAGCATGTGAGGTAAAGATGGAAATTTGAATTGGGTGTTCTCTTTTTCAGTCAATTGAAGACTGTGAAGCTGGAGTTATGTTTCTGTTGATGTCTAATTTATTCATACAACCTCTAGTCCTCTACTACGTAGGGAATAATTTGAATGTGTTATTTTGTTTTTTTTAATAATCTGAGATACTCAGCTTTCGTTATAACAAAGTGAACTCCATTTTTATACCTGAGTTGGAAATTCTATATGGATTTGGCATCAATAATTGTAGAGATTGAAATTAGGTGTTATAATTGTCATTCTGGTTGCATATATGGTTTTAGGTGACTTAACCATGTTAGTGTTGTTGGATTCAAAAGAACTCATAATAAGATTTGTGTTGTGCTAAGCATCTTTTGTAAAGCATTAAATACTCAAGTTCTTGTGATGCCATTATGGGGGTGGCAATGGAACTATATTTTTCTTTTGAACTCTAATTATGGGATACAAGCAGTATTGATTCTGTAAAAAGACTAAGAACGAAAACAATGTATTTGGATAGAGTAACATGATATTATCTAGGAGATGGTACATTCATGCACGCAACGAAGTACTCCCTATAAGAAAGACAGATAGTATCAATGGAAGAACAAGGAAAGGTTATTAATTTATCAAGCAAAATAATTTTGTTGCATTATGTTGCCTCTCAATCACTTTTTTCCCTCTCATAGGAATAAGATGCAAGTACTTATAACCCTTGATTGTGAATTTTTTTCTCTACCAATGGGGTGGTTTGAGACTGGTGATTTGATATTGGAAAGTACAACGTGCATGCTGAGTATATATGTTCTTGGTTACAATATGGATTTTCAATTGGTTTAGTTGGCACCTGAGAGGTTTGATACTTCCCACTATCTTAGAAACCATGAACTTAATTTTTTTTATTATACCGAACAACTGATTTCTATTGTTGGTTTGGTTTTAGTATTTTAGCATGTGGCTGAGTTCTAATCTCTTTGTAATCTACATATAAAAAGGCACTACATAACCAGTTTTTGATAGTTGCAAAATCGTCCCGGCACCAAGCAATGTATCCTTGCAAAATACTTCTCCAATGCAACATTCTTTTCTGTGTGTCTTGCATCAAAATATGGTGCAACAATCTATTGCTGGTAGAAGAGGGGGGGGGGGGGGGGGAGGGGTTGAAGCCGGATCTTTAAGAACAGGAAGAAAAAAAAAACAGAGGGATGGAGGCCTAAAATACCATTCTTTATTCTGTTTTGGAAGGTTTTGTAATTATTTAGGCTTTCTTGTACTGCTATAATCCAACTGGAACTCTGAAACAAGGGTTTTAAAGTGATCCCTTTAGTGGCAGGTTCTGCTTGAATGAGAAGAAATTGGGATTTCCCCGTTATGTTCTATATAGATAACATCATATTTTTGCAGGAAGAATTCCTTTTGCTTTTCTTGAAGACATTCATCAGAGGTTTGTCAGGACTTATGGCCGAGCAGTTCTATCAGCCCAGGCTTATGGCATGAATGATGAGTTTTCAAGGGTTCTGAGCCAACAAATGGAGTATTACTCAAACGATCCCAATGCAGATAGGATAAACCGTTTAAAAGGTGAAATGGGTCAGGTGAGTTTTGCATGTCATTATGGAGCACAATCTTCAGTTTCTAAGATTAAAGATCTTTTTTCTTGGATATGGTTTTGAGGATTATTTGTGCTTGAGAGTGCATTTATGATTTTATAATCTAAGAAATCAGCAAAGTTTGGTTTGGTTTGGTTTGGTTTCATTAATTAGTTAATTCCCAATTTTCGACTTAAGATAAGTTCTGGTATAGCTTATGCTCATCTTGGATCTGAATTAAGATACATATTTTATCTTTAGATCCTGTTTAATCCTGTGTGTAAATCTGCACATATGTTGATGATATCCAACTTGGATCATAATTGCTGGTTTTGCTTTAATGAACAGGTACGCAGTGTGATGATTGAGAACATTGACAAGGTATTAGAGAGGGGTGATCGCCTGGACTTGCTTGTAGATAAAAGTGCAAATATGCAAACTAATACACTGCGATTCAGAAAGCAGACTCGTCGATTCAGGAGTACAGTCTGGTGGAGAAATGTCAAGCTCACGTAATTTTTCTAAACATTACCCTTTTTTTAATTTCTGAAAATGTTATTGCTAATGATAAAAAACGGCGTCTCAATGCTAATCTACAAAACCAAATTTATAGTCTGAGTCTCATAACCACCGTCATTCCCACTATGTAGTAAGTGCTTTCTGACACAAGGGTGATTATTGCATACAGCCATGGCTCATCATGTTTCCAAATTATTTGTCTTATAAACTTTGCTTTATTATTTATTTTCTTTTTGCTATAAGAAAATTAACACATTTCTGGTTACTGAAATGACAGGATTGCTCTCATATTGCTCATCCTGGTGATTATATATGTTGTCTTGGCATTTGTTTGCCATGGGCTTACGCTTCCCACCTGCATATAAGCCGAGTGTGGATTCAGTTGTTGGAATTGCCAATTCCAATTCCAATTCCAATTCTGTTTCTTGGATGGCTTCGAAACACCATGTGAGTGATTGCTCCGCCCTCTGTCTCTACTTCACCAGCGTGTGGGATTGTTTCATCTTTCGTGTGCGATATGTGTGTCATTATTTTTTACCGTAATTATTTACTGTCGGCCAGTTTGGTTTCCTCTCATATAGTGGGTCAATTGTTTTTGGTAAGAACAAACTCTGTTGCTATTGTGTATTATGTACCATAACAAGTTTTGCTTTGTGTTCATCCTATTTTCGAGTAGGATATATTGATTTGGTTTGAAGTTAGATTTTCTTTTTTGAAGAACCAAAGGAAGTAAACAGAAGGAAAACAAACTGAATGGCTGAAAAACTATAAAGAACCAGCATAAAAACAACTGCCGGTTTGTTTACCAAATACTTAAGTGCTTACGGATCACTTACCTTACCCGGTGAGCATCGCGAGGCATGACAACTACCAAGGGTCTTATCTGGTAAATGAGGGAAAAAGGCTCATACCCGATTAGCGCTTAGCGGGCCACTTACCTTACCGGGTGAGCATGGTAAACACTGAGGGGCTGTTTACTTGTGACTTAGGGCCTGTTTACTTATGGCTTAATGAGCTTAGTGGATAAATTGGCTTATTCGCACAGACGCTCAAGGCTGTTTACTTTGAGCTTAATCGCTCAGAAATGGGCTTATTCGCCCAGATGAAAAAAGGCACTTGTCCAGATTAAGCCGGCCAAAAGACTTGCCCTACCCTTCTTCTCCATCGATCCTTGCCTGTGTTCACCACCAACCATCGATCTCCTCCTTGCCTGGGTTTCGATTTTGGGTATTAGGATTTCGATTTTGGGTATTAGGATTTCGATTTTGGGGTTTTCACGTCATTGCTTTTGGAGATTAGGATTTCGATTGGAGATGCAGGTTTTGGTTTTTGTTCTTGGTTTTTGATTTTGGTTTTGGTTTTTGTTCTTGGTTTTTGATTTTGGTTTTGGTTTTTGTTTTTGGTTTTTGATTTTGGTTTGTATGCCCTGTTTGCTTCCGATTTTGATGCTCAAATCGATTTTGCTGCTCGATTCTTAGGTTCTATTAGGCTCGATTTTGTTCATGGAATCGATTTTGCTGCTCGATTTTGTTCATGGAATCGATTTTGCTGCTCGATTTTGCTGTTCGAAAACATGCTGCTCGATTTTGTTCATGGAATCGATTTTGCTGCTCGATTTTGCTGTTCGAAAACATGCTGCTCGATTTTGCTGCTCGATTTTGTTCATGGAATCGATTTTGCTGCTCGATTTTGCTTGCCTTGACTATTGTTTGATGCTTGTATGAAGATGAAACAGCAGCTTCACTAAAGATGCTTGTTTGATGCTTGTATAACTATTTTTGATGCTTGTATAAAGATGAAACAGCAGCTTCACTAAAGATGAAACAGCAGCTTCTCATTGATGCTTGTTTGATGCTATATTGTTTGCTGCTTGATGGTCTTGCTGGTCGATTTATTTTGGGTTTGTTTAACATGGGTTGTRTAACAGCCCATAGTTAATACTCAGGGGTATATTGGTCATTTYTRTTATTCAGACTGTTGATTCAGATAGAAAAGTAAACAGCAACCTAAATTTATCCAGACAGCCAAATTTATCCAGACAGACAAATTTATCCATACAGGACTTAATAGAAAATTTGGTAAACAGCCCCTTAATGGGCTTAATTGAACTTCCGGCTTATTCGCACAGTCAAAATAGATCGTTTACTTGGAGCTTATTCGCATAGTTCATGACTTATTCACACAGATGGATATGGGCTGTTGTCTACATTCAGCAAAAAAAAAAGACATACCTACCCCTAAGCTTTCATGAGCACTCCTCTTCAAGACACGCCTCCTTTCAGCCTCCTTCAATGCACGCCTCCTTTCCGGCGATTTTTTTCTTCCTTTCTGGTTACCGGTGATTTTCTTCCTTTCTGGTTACCGGCGATTTTCTTCCTTTCTGGTTACCGGCGATTTTCTTCCTTTCTGGTTACCGGCGATTTTCTTTGTTTCTGGTTACCGGTGATTTCTCCTTCCATCGAGTCTTCTTCGGTTTCTTCTTCGATTTTCAACAACAGATCGATTTCTCCTTTCAAAACCCTAATAAACAAACCCAAAAATTCAAAACCGGCTCTGCATCGTACAAAGGCCCCCTTCTCCAGAGCTCTGCAACCATCATCTCCTTCACCCAGGATACACATTTCCCTATGTTCATTGCTATTCACTCAATAACCCTTTCGTTAGATCGTTCAACAACTTTGAATCTTTCTGGAAATAGTTCATGGAACAAGTATTCGGCTCTGAAAGTTGCGACTCTTCTCCTTTTCATCTCCAAAATTCCTAAAAATCCGAAGATCTTCATTCATGGATGGTTGTTGGATTTGGGTTCTTTAGATCGCTGCATTCTTTTATCACTGGTAGTCTTCCGTTTCTGAACATTTTAGAATCTGTTTCAAGAGCTGGTAGCTATGCTGTTATATCGGTCATAATACGAAATATCGGTCAGGACCGATATTCGATATATCGGTCCAAAATAGCGGTTAACATAATATATCTTAGAATTATATATATAATATGCATTAATTAGATTTTAGAAATATAGTTTTAAAATTAAAACATCACATCATCTAATAAATAATAAAATTAGTCATTTGGGCTTTGGGACTGGTAGTCTAATAGTCTGTTACTCATTTGGGTTTGGGCCTTTTGAAATTTGGACTGGAGGCCTGGAGCACTTGTAAATTTCTAAGCGATAGCTACCGCCTACCACTTAACAGCCGGCCACAGGAGACAGATCACAAATCACAATTCACAGACGTACGCATATCCGCCGACCGCCATCGCCTTCCTTCCCCCCTTGACCCTTGTAAGCGACGGCCGGTAGAGTGAGCAGCAGACCAGCAATCGACCTTCGGCTTCTTCCATCCCCGTCCCGTTGCCATCCCTATCGCTGGCTATGTTGTGTCGATTACAGAGAAAAGCAGAGGATATCGAGAAGAGAGACCGAGAAAAGAGAAGACGTTGTGAGAAGAAGAAGTCGAAGACTCGATGTTGTGAGAACTGAGAAATCGGAACATCGGTCCGATTTTTACCTCAAAATATCGCTAAAAAATACTAAAAATCGCTAAATATCGCCGATAATATCGTTCCCAATATTTTGACCGATATTTAAGGTCCGATTTTTTTCCTAGGAGCGATATCCGATATATCGCCGATATATCGCGATATTAACAACATAGGCTGGTAGAAGCTTAAACTTGTGTTTCACACCTTCGATTTTGGTGGGGTTTTAGGGTTTTTGAGCTCATAAATTTCATGGTAAGTGTATGAGATTAGGTTGAATGGAAACCCCATGATTTCCTTGTTTAGATTCCACCTCAGAATGTTCGTAGATCCTTAAGATTTGGGAATTAGATATTGATTAGGGATGGAAGGTGCCGTTAAAGAATGTTCAGTTCATTGAGGGTAAAATGGTCATTTTTGCCATTCAGATCATTGATTCAGAAGAAAAAAGAAACAACACTACATGTTTATCTAGACAGACAAATTTATTCAAACAGACGAATTTATTCATACAGGACTTAATAGAAAATTTGGTAAACAGCCCCTGAGAATTTTACCTAGTAAGAGACATGACAACAACCAAGGTTTTATATGGTAAGTGAGGGAAAAGACTCTTATCCAGTTGACGCTTAATGGGTAAGAGACGCGTATAAACAAGCCATTTTGATAGCCGAGAATGTTACCCACATGATAACTCGATAAGAGTTGTGGTGACTATTATTGGTAAGCTCTTACCCTGTAAGTATTTGGTGAACGGCCCCTGAAATTAAACCAAACATCTTCATTATTCTGGTGTATCGATGGTAGTAGGCTTGGTCTTCTCTAATAAGCCGTGGTCCCAATTTGTGGAAGACGTGAATTTTTTCTGAAGAATTCGCCATGATATACTAATCCAGATGAAAGATCGTGTAAAAATAAGAGTTAAAGTGAAAAATGTAAGAAGAGATTTGGACCTTTGATCACTTTAATTTAGAACAACGCATAAATTGTGTTTTATAAAGGAATTGATTTAGTGTATCTTATTAGTGTTGATTTAATGGTTCTCTTCAATTACGATTGATCCAATGATGGAGATCCTTTCTTACCATAACTTTCATTTTCATCAGAATCCAACCCTACTGATCCATGCATTATATCATGAGAAAATTAACAGAAAATTTTCAGTTGAAGTGCAGTCGCTCAACAAATAAAGTTACTCTATGGATAACAGGTTGATCGTTCTCCAAGAATTCATCTACTGAAGGTTTGGCACCTCCATGAGGGCTCTTCGCCATCTAGGGCTGTATTGCCATCGACGTGGGAAGTTCATGAATGATTGGTAAGCTTATTGTAGTTGTCCAAGTGATCCTTGAGGTAAATGCGAACCTCAATTGATTTGGGTGTAATCGGCATCCTGATTCGAAACCACCCGACAAAGAAAAAGTGGACTCCAAAGATACGGTGCTAGTTGTGGTGGTCAGTAGATCTATGACAACAACAAAAAAATGTTAGAAGTTGGTCTTCTTTTTTCCACCGTGATAACTAGTGTTATACTTGTTCGTTGGTTGGGTACACAACACGACTTTAAACATATTCTAAACATCCTCGAAATAGATCTCAAACAAAGTGACGACTTATCAACTTGAACAAATCGATAATATGAGAAATGTGAGCATAAATTTATGTAACAAAGATTTTATCCTGACTCGATTGACACCCCAAGTAATACTCCTACTATCTCATAATGTACCCTATCAAATCCCTCTAGCCGGAGACGAAAAGATTGATGAAAACCAGTTTCTAAATAGATTCTAAACATCCCTAAAACAGACCTCAAACAACCCTGATTTGTCCCATAGTCATAGCTGTATAAATCAACAATCCACAGACATACGACAATAAGTAGGAAAGAACAATGGTCTGAAACCTTTATTTGTCCTAACATTGTTTATTTGCACATGAATTAAACGGTGAAGAAGAATTAGCATACAAAAAGTACATAAACTCAAATAGATTATAAAACGTCAAAGTGATTCTAACAAAAAATTTAAACGTTAACTGCTTACCCAAATATTAATGGTTCCAAGTAACCTAACTGCAAAGTTTGCCAATTTTTGTACATCATCAGGCCAAACCTTCTTGTAAGTTCTCCACGAGCTCTTTAATTGTCATGTCGGCAAATTCTACATGTTCGTGGAACAAAACAAAAAAGCAGAAAGACAAGTATCTGCTAAA